AGTGTTTTAGAGCGGACCTAGGTCCGCGTTTCGAGCGCCCGCCGCTGGGGGAATTCAGGCGCTGCGTTTGCAGCTTTCCTCGCGGGTCAGGGCGCGGCCCTGACAAGCTGTGTCCTCGTCAGCTTCGTGGTCTCACAGATGAAGCCCTCTGGCGTTTAGTTTGTGTCTTCATGGAAATCGAGACCGCCTGCGCTCGGCCAGCCACGTGGGCCAACCAATCTCGTTTTGGTCAACAAAAATACGGGGGAGCGAGGCCAACAGCCCCGATTCATAGTTCAGCCCGCGTCCAGGGGCGCTCGCGCAAGCCCGTCGCTCGCCAGTGGCAAGAGGCGAACCCCAGGCCCGACTGGTGGTTCACGTGAGGCCGCTCTAGTGACAGGTTATTGTGGATTTAGGCGCGTTCTGCTGAGCGGGCCAATGCTCGGGGCTTCTCGTCAGCTCTTGCTTTGCTGGACCTCCAGAAGGCCTTTGAGAGAGCATCAAGCATTCGGAGTTGGTTTCGGCGGCTGCGCGGTCGGGGTTTCCGTTCCGCCAGCGGAAGCTTCTCGTGGCGCTTCATCGTTGTCCAACGCCGTGTTGTCGTTTCACGATGCCGTCTCCGACCCGATTTCGATTCTCCAGGCCGTGCTGCCTGCATGTCGGCTCTTTACTGCCATGCTTCAGCTGCTGCTGCTGCTTCTGATGCTGCTGCCGTTGGGTCGTGTGCAGCAGGCCTTTCGGCGCGTGCACCTCGGCAATATGGTCGATGATGTTGGGCTCCAGCGTCTCGGGGGAACGGTCGACGCAGCTGCAGCATTCGCTCGGGCCACCCAGACGTTGCGCGGCGAGCTGCAGGCGGTGCAGTTGCCCATTGCTGCAAAGAAGAGCAAGGGCATCGCCTCGTCGCCTGCCTTTCGACAGTCGCTTCTGTCCTTGCTCCGTCGGTTTCGGGCCCAGGATTCCAGAATCGAGAGTAACCTGGGCGTGGATTTCGCCCCTGGGCGTTTTTTCCCGCATGCCACCCGAGCCGCCAGGAAGCCGCCAGCGGTCACCAGGGCCCGCGAGGCGTTTCATGCCTCAGGGCTCGTCCATACAGAACAAAAAACACATAATGGTGCAAACTACTGTGCTCGTGCCGTTTAAATACGGCAACAGCGCCATGGGCATTTCCGGCTCCGACCCGAGGGTCGCGAGGACCATGCAGACGCGCGTGCAGGCCCAGCGGCTAGCGGGCCGGTCAGTCATCCGCTGCTCATGATTGGTGCTTCGCCTGAGGTTGACCATGTTTGTTCTTTCAACCTCGATCCTCTCAGAGCCTTCGCCACTGCCGCGTGGGGGAGCTGGCTGCCTCGCCGCATCCTGGAGCGATGGGTTAAGCAACGCCGTCGAGCGTCTCCAGGGGCATGGGAAGGTTTGGGCCAGCAAACTAGGTCCCTTATCGGCTTGTACCGCAAACGCCAGTAGGCTCGGCACTGTTCTTGAAGGTTATCGCTGAGTTTCTCTGAGCTCGGAGCCGTCGACGTCTCGGAAATGAGACCCAGGACAGTCTGCGCGCGGTTAACCCGCGTCGTCGAGGCCACACTCTGGACGAGAGATGCCGAGCGAGTTGGTTTTCTTGAGATTAGAGCAGGCTGTCTTCTTGAGTCCATCAGGCAAGTCCTTCGGCGCCGATGGCTCGCGCCCGAAGCCAAGGGATACCTTCGCAGCGTTGTCGGTGGTGGCCAATGGCCGCAGCGTCGTCAGTGGAGTGAAAAGCTCAGTTCTGATCCTTTTGTGTCAGTTCTGCAAGTCTGGACCTGGGGCCCTCCTGCACCAGCATGCCGGGCGCCCTGGGCACTCTGAGCTGTTTTCCACACTTGTCGCCGCCCGAGTTTCTCGATTGGTTGCAAATGGCTTGTGACCGTCCCCTTCCTTTCCTTTTTGTGGAGGGGCTGCTGGCGCCCTATGCTGCCCCCCCCCCTTCCGCTGCCCCCTTTTCCGAACAATGGTTCGGAGGAGGGCCCGAATTCTCAGGGCGCGTCTTTCTGGATGGCAGTTGGCGCGACCAGCGCCTTCCCGCGCGCGCAGGCCGTTGCGCGGGCAGTCCTTGCCATTCAGACAAGCTGTCCTTCCGTGTCTTGTCGGTGCTCGCCGGATGTCTAGATGGCGTCTGCGCCGACGATGACAAGGCTGAGTTGTTTGCTTTATTGCGCGGGCGCGGCATGCTCTGTGTCTGATTTCATAGCATATTCAGATCCCTCTTTCGTTGTTGGCGGGCTGCGCAGTCGCTGCAGGCGATGGCGCTGCTCCTCTCGCTCCGCCTGGGCCGGGCTTCGGCGCCAGGTTCGGGAGAAGATCGATGTCTGGGAAGGAATTGACAATGCAGTTGAGCGCAAGGCCAAAGGACATCGCCGCCAAGGCAGGGCGCAGGCAGGCCTATCTTTTGATTTTGAGAAGGCAGGCGACGATGAGGCTGACGATTGGGCTCAGTGGATGGCCCAACGTGGTCGAATTCCCCATGAGCTCCGCCAAGCCAGGGTTGCAACGGAACGTGTTTTGTTGAAGATGGCCACGTGGGTTGCGCAGACTGGCCCAGGCCTCACTCAAGCAGCGCAGCGCGAAACCTCGCGCTCCCGTGCTGCAGGTGCTACCTCCTCCGCCGACTGCCACGCCGCGGCCGCTCGAGAGGGCCGATCTCGCTGTCGCTCGTGTCGCGCAGTCTGGAGGTGCGCAGCACGTTATACATCCTTTCCCGTTGGGGAGCGGGGTGCGGTGTGTGCGGTGTGCGGTGTGTGGGATGGGAGGGGTGAAAGTCTCTGCTCGCTTCAGTGCTGCACAGGGCCGCCACTTGCATGCTCATGGGGATCGCGGGTCCTGGCAAATCTTGCGCGGGCTCCGTCGCTTCAAGTCGTACCCTCTTGTGCAACCTTCCAGGACGGGAGACCTCATTCGTGCTGGTGAGGTCATCAGCTCGAGGTAAGGTGGTTTGCTCCTCGCACGCGCGCTTCTCGCTGGTGCGAGCGAGTCGGAGGTGCCGCCCGCTTCTGGGGTCTATCCCATGCGGTGGCGGAAGGTGTACGCGACGCGAAAGAATCATTTTGCGCTGGGGCTTGGTCCAGGAGGAGGGGGAGGAGGGAGGAGGAGGGGGAGGAGGAGGAGGAGGAAGAGGAGGAGGAGGAGAAAAAGGAGGAGGAGGAGGAGGAGGAGGAAACGGAGGAGACGGATGAAACGGAGGAGGAGGAGGAGGAGGAGGGGAGGAGGAGGAGGAGGATGGAAAGGAGGGGGAGGAGGAGGGGAGACGGAGGAGGAAGAAGAGGAGGAGGAGGGAGGAGGAAAAAGGAGGAGAGGAGGAATAGGAGGAAGAGGAGGAACAGGAGGAGGAGGAGGAAGAAGGAGGAGAGGAGGAGGAAACGTTGGAGACGGAGGAGGGAGGAGGAGGAAGAAGAAAAAAGGAGAAGGAAAAGGAGGAATAGGAGGAGGAGGAGGAGGAGGAGGAGGAGGAGGAGGAGGGGAGGAGGAGGAGGAGAGGAGAGGAGGAGGAGGAGGAGGAGGAGGAGGAGGAGAGGAGGAGGAGGAGGGAGGAGGAGGGAGGAGGAGGAGGAGGAGGAGGAGGAGGAGGAGGAGGAGGAGGAGGAGGAGGAGGAGGAGGATGAGGAGGAGGAGGAGGAGGAGCAGGAGGAGGAGGAGAAGGAAGATGATGGTGAGGAGGAGGACAAGGAGGACCATTGGAAACCGAAGAGCCATCAACGATTTTGGAAATTCATGGGCCCGTACAACTGCCTCGTTGAAAGACAGCAGG